AGACAATCGTAGAAGCTCTACTCGGGCAACGTGTCCTGTTTCCAACTAGAGCGCGTGGAGGGCAACAAGACAGTTGTCTGGAACTTGTCTTCACTAAAGATCCTGACAGTATAGACGAGGTGTGCTATCTACACCCGCTCGGTCGAAGTAATTACGCAGTACTGTTATGGGAGTATGAGCTCTATTCTGAACCGTCCATAAAAGACAATACAAGGCCAAATACATGGAAAGGGGACTTTTGCCAAATGAGAGCTGAGACACCGGAAATATTCTGGGATGTTCTTTTTACCGGAAACGTTAACGAGGAATGGAATTTATTCAAGGATCGGTTGCCGCATCTATTGAAGTGGCACTGTCCATTATTAACGTCTAGGACATCCAACCGCCCTCAATGGCTAACACGAGAACTCAAAAATAAGATCAACAAAAAAGAAAGTTTGTGGGAGAAATTTCGCGAAAACAACAACAAGCAGCGTTTACAAAATATAAAGTTCAAAGAAATAACGTTATAAGCCTGAATTTCAGGAGGCGACAGGATTTCGAGAGTAATTTGCTCTACTGAGCCGGTAAAAAGCAAAAATTGCTTTACAGCTATTTGCGGAAGAGCACACGTAACATGAATCCCACTTTTGTCATGAGAATTGATGACGGTTTGGAGATATCGGACTGTACAAAAAAAGCTGAGCATTTTTATCGATTTTTTCAATCCGTTTTCACAAGAGAAACAGACTTTATTCCAACTACTTCTGAGAACATGGGAGATCCCACTATCGAAGATGTCGTTTTTCGAGAAGCAACGATTTTGGAAGAACTAAAAAGCTTGAATGAATGTGAATCGCTCGGTCCGGACGAGATCACATCAAAGCTGCTCTTTGAGCTTGCCAGACAGCTGGCCAAGCCACTATCTTTATGTGCCAGAAATTGTTTTATGCTGGAATCCTTCCCACAGACTGGAAGACGGCTTACATTACGTCACTTTATAAAAGAGGTAGCGGTGATCTCGCGACAACTGTCGACCGCCATACGGATATCACGCTGATGCAAAGTGATGAAGAAAACCATAAAAGGATTTGATGGCTTATTGGGAAAGCCACGCACTCTTGTCCAATGCACAATACGGTTTACGTAAGGGAAGATCATGTGTAAAGAACATTCTATATACAATGCAAAGTTGGACAAGAGCACTGGACGCAAAACACACTGTGCATGTGGCCTATATTGGTTGTTGAAAGGCGTTCGACAATGTTTCGCATCAGCGTCCCCTACACAAGTTGAGAATAATGGGCATCGGCGGCAAACTACTCAAGTGGATCGAGAATTTCCTCGTCGGCCACTCCGAAATTGTTTGCGCAGAACAGCAGCAATCAAGGCGCACACTCATAGAGAGTGGAGTTCCACAAGGCTCGGTGCTCGGACCAACCCTCTTTTTCTTGTTCATCAATGATTGTGCAGATGAGTTCAACTGTAATTGTGTCATGTTTTCGGATGACATAAAAATCTTGAAAGTCATCCAGAATGCTGACGATGAGATCAACTTCCAAGACCTTCTTTGTCGACTGGACGAGTAGTCCCGCAGATGGCTCATGTGTTTCAATTTGAACAAATGTACCACACTGCGCCTTGGAAATCAGACCCCTAATACGCGACAATGCCATCTAAAGGGAACGCCATTCGGAGATGCAGAAACGCAGAAAGATCTCGGAATCTGGGTTGCAGACAGCCTAAAGCCTTTTACACAATGTTGTAAGGCGACCAAGACCGCAACTTCAATGCTATATGCCATCAAGCGGGCATTCACAGTTTTCCATGATGACTGCTTCTGAAAAGTTTTCGGCACGTTTGTGAGGTCGCAGCACGAATATGCGATTCAGGCCTGGAGACCGTGGACGTAGCTGGATTCCAATCTGCTCGAAAGGGGGCAGAGGCGAGCAACAAAATTAATAAGAGGTCAAAGTGCACTGCCGTGCGAGATCCGCCTAACTAACCTTAATCTCTTTCCTTTGATTTATAGGCAGTTGCGCGGAGACTTGATACAAACTTTCCGTATCGTGCATGACTTGGACTGCGCCCTTCGGTGAGATGACTTTTTCCAACTAGCCACTATAACAAATCTGCGGGGACATCCCGTCAAGCTACGTGTGCCCCAGGGTAGATTGAATGTGAGAAAATATTTCTTCTCCCACAGTGTCGTGGAACCTTGGAATAACCTGCCAGAGACGACTGTCATGTCTCAATCTGCGGACAAATTTAAATGTCGGCTTGACAGATATATGCCGCAGCAAAAAGCGGACTATGTGACTTTTCAACAATGATACCAGTGACATACGTGAATCAATGTCTGCATTCACATAATGCTGTAATTTCGTCACGTTTTTTGCTTATTTATCGTTTTTATGTGCAAATCGGAAGTTCAAAGGCGTAAGTCTATTTCCCTCAAATACACTGACTAACCGCCTGACTGAAAACCATTCTCGTGAAAGACTGAGCATATGAGGGGAATCTCTTAGCAAACTTATGAAAAGATAATAAAACAAAGACAATGCAGCATCTTAGCAAAAACTAGTCTTTTTACGCTACAATGGATTAAGAAAGAGGTCAATCCTATCGTGCAAACCAACTCATATCCATGGATAGCTGGACGAAATAGGTTAAAATGGTTGTATCCGTAGAAGCGATGTACATTTACTTCAGACAGGCTTCGGCAGGCAATTTGTATCTAAATAACTTAAAATGAGAGTGAATGGGGATTTACTGAAATGGTTAGCTGAGTTTCTTACAGGCAGATTTCAGTGTGCTTGTATTGATAACGTTAAAACAGAATGGGCAATCGTTCGCAGCGGCGTTTTGTAGTGAACCCTTCTGCTTTTTATATTTGCGAACGACTGCCTGGATTGTCTGAATTGCAGAAACGTTATATTTGCCGATGATCACAAATTGTGGAAATTGACAGAGAATCCCCGGGACTGGGCCTCGTTTGGCGGGGCTATGGACGCGATAGCGCCGTCTGGCCCCGGGGGCTAGTAATGTCCCTGATTGAATGCCGCATGGACAGTTCTTATTCAAACTGGAAGATTTTAGTATTTCATGTTTCCTCATGGACCTTATAAAGTAACACATATCCAATCGAAAATTAAGGTCTTATTAGGGAATTATTCTCCGATGAGATTCTTATTGTGAGTTGTGTCCTCTCAGGCACAGTATTAGGCCTTCTTTTGCTGAACATCAGTGATAATTTGTCGGCAGTTAAGCAGTCTCAACATTTCAGTTATGCTGATGGTCTCAAGTGCGTACAGTTCTTTTCCAAAATCTACGACACAACATTGCCTGGGCCAAGTCAAAGTCTACTTCCTTGCTGTTTCCATATGGAGCTCAACATAGCTAGTAGAAGTGTCCCCTTCATGATGTCGCTACATTTGTGTTGACCTTGAAAGGCAACTTCAGCCAGTGATTTTCTAAACATCCGATGACTGAGTGTTTCCCCACAGAGGACTTTGGTTTACATTGCACCGATAATTTAAACGTCTCGCCGCATATCGGTAGTACTACGCCCAAAGCCCCCCAGATCTGTAGCTTCATTTCTCATATTTCTGACCTCCTTGATTTTATTGAATGTTCTTCCGTCGCATTGTTTAATATTGCTGCCCGTCCTCTAGTTTAACGAACGGAGATAGTTGTTTTAAGCATCAAAAATGCACAGACCATTTTGTTGGAAAGAACTTAAATAGGAACACCCAAATGCTTCCTGCTATAATAGGCGTCAACTGTTAGCTTTGAAATATCTATGAGTTCAGAGACAAGAAGCAGGTTGATAGAAGCGAACAGGCGAGTCCCAGGTAGCAGTTCAGAAGATGAAGATGCGATCAC